AATTGCATTTTTTTTTTTTGGTTTTAATGATCGGTTGGATTTTACGAATGCATGAACTCATATTTTTATAGCGGTGCAGCAATAGTTAGTTGATTGATTGTATAAAGAGATCTCAACATCCATCTATTCTATCTTGTTATCCAACTCAGATTGTTGATGTTCTGCCCTTCAAAAGGAAAAGCCTTAGCCTAAGGAGCAGGATGCCAATTGCCTCGTGCTACAGTAACATGGTTGGGGTCCCCATGGAACAAACACTTCTCATGATCAATCCACACGACTTTTCACATGGGATGGTCTTCTAACATGTTCCCCTCTACAGTACTCCTACCTTTCTTCATAAGCTAATTCTGGCGCTTGGATAATTAAAGCATTAGGATCTAAGCGCGGAATAAACAACTATTGAGATATCAAATGTACAATAATTTAATAGCAAATAAAACCACAAACATGAAAGATAAACGACACACAATATTTAACGTAGTTCGACTCCACCATTGAGTCTACGTCCACGGAGAGAAATCTGTTCTTTATTATGAGAAGAAAAACCTATACAAGAATACAACTTGAACTCAAGGCCAACATTATATACCATCTCTCATATCTCAAGAACCGTCTCTCACACCCCATGTATAAGGCTACATGACGCCCCTTGTGTCTCCTTGTATGTCTCTGTAGTATGCCAATCTACCTATTTATTGAGAACATTATTGCCAAAAAAACCAAATAACAATTGAAAATCAATATTATTTCCTAAACTCATATAGAGTAGAAAATAGCATCTAATTTTAGCTAAATAGGGTTTTACTTGACTACTACTTCAAGTAACTAAAATCAATTAGGAAACTAGTTACTTTCACACAAAACAAGAATTATATCTAAAAGAAATTAAGCCAATTTCTTGACGCAAAGAGTAAGATAATGCTAACCTTGTCTACGTAAATGGGTGATATTCTCCCTGAATACAAGAATAGAATGACACCTTTGCACACCACCCCTTTCTCCCGAAAAAAAAAAAAAGAAAAAGAAAAAAAGAACAGTATGCCACTGGCACAGTTTTTTGCGGTAAGGTCTGAAATGGCCCTTTTAGCGTAAATTTCGTCCCAGAATCCAGTCTGCCGGTTAAGAGCCATACAAGCAAGCGATGTGCCTAAATATATCAGTCAACCAAATGACCAAACAAGAGCTGACAGACTGCAAACCAAACCTCATAGCGAGGATTGTTGAAACATACTCCAACTCTTGCTTGTCTTCGCTCTGTTCTCATCTACTACCTTTTTACTTGCTAATAATCAATGAAACAACAGCAGTGTTTAGTCTGCCGTGCTTTTTGTTTTCATCATCATTTAATAGACTGATGACTAATAGCCCCTGAAATAATGTGCACATGAAAGGGCCTGCGGCTCACAGTACCGGATGAAACTTTTGTGAGGAATGATTTTGCATTGTTTAAATTATGGAGGACAAAAATGTTACGGACGAAATCGACAATTTTCTCCACCCGGCTGCAAAGGATAGGGAGGCGGATCTGATCAATCTTATGGCTCCACATTTTGCATCAAGCAGTCGAATCTAGAGTTCTGCAAAGGGAGTAGAGGTGGCAAAATGGGCGGGATGGGCGGGATTTGCTTGGGTTTGAGATGGAACCGAGTTATATGGATTTGGGCCCAACCATACCCATATGTGTTTTGGGACTAATTTGGGCGGGATCATTTTGGGATGGGTTTAGATTGATCCCGCCCAATATCCAAATTCATTTTCTACATATTTTTTTTCCTTTAATTCATTTTTTTAATATAATTTTAATATTTTTTATTTATTAAATTGCTTTTAGTTTTATTAAATAAACATGCAAGTGCTTTATACTCAAAATTCCCACCAAAAATTGGATTAACAAATAAAGGAAAAAATAGATATATAGCCATATTCCAACATATATCAAGATGGCCAAGGTCCTTAGGATGTTGAATATTTATCCTCATCATTGTCCAAGGATGACAGGTCTAAACTAACTGAGATGCTGGAAATTCTTGTGGATAATGACTAGTAAGACTACTAGATTATATTCGCTAGTATGACGATAAAAATTGTTAAAGATAATTTTTGAATCTAAGACTCCATTTGGATTGACTATTTTTCAAAAAATAAGTTTTTCAAATACAATGTTACAGTAATATACAATAACTCAAGAAACATCCCATCCTTATTAGTATATCAAATATTTCAAAAAATTTTATAGTAAAAATTTTTCATATACACTGCTACAATAAAATATTTCAAAACACCCCCAAAAACAGCTAATCCAAACAGAGCCCTTGCCATTTGAGCCCAATGGGTACCCAAGTATTTCCCATCCTTTCCCATTCATTAATGGGTATAGTTGGGATGTGTCCCAACTTAAACCCAATACCAAATTATAATACCCATCCCGCCCAAAGTTCCTTTGGGCATGGGTAGCCCATTGGGACTTGGGACAAATTGCCAGCTCTAAAAGGGAGAAAAGGGCTGGTCAGCAGGGATGGCTGTAATGCGATTTAAACCACAATTTCGTACTTTACTACTCTCCACAATTTCTGGTAGTCAAAGCTTAAAAGGACCACATTGCATATCGTGGCATTGTGCTATAGCCGCGACAATAAATGGAGCAGGTCCTAAATTTGGAAACCAACTCTCTTTAGGCGGGGTGATTATTAGATGACCACTTAATAAGATGCAGGATTCACTGTAAATTAGAGGATTCAAGTCTCGTAGTACATTCCGTCGGACGTCTCAAAATTATCGGTGCGTTAAAGGAAGAGTAGTAGTTTATTGTCATTTCACTGAAGCCCACATCCTCCACTTTTGCTATGATTGCTGTCCATCTTCCTTCGTTTTTGTGGGTTCAATCCTCTTAAGGCAAAAAACAAAAAAAAGAAACAAAGCCGCCAAGCTGGCTGGCAGCCTAGCAGGGCGGCTCCTCCTTTAGCATCCATATTAACCCTACACTACAACTCCAACTCCAACCTTGAATTGAAAATTTGACACAAAACTGATGCATCATCGAGCAGTTTACACCGAAGGAGTCAGAGCTAAAACAGGATCCAAATAAGCAAATGTGATACCCTCCAGTCTAACCCATTTTCTTATCCTTCCCATCTTCCCGCAAACTGCTTATCACAATTTGACTCGAATGCCCTACCCTTGGCAAAATGCTTTGGAACAATTTATGCCATCAATTTTGGGCTTGCCGAGGTTAATAGCAAAATCAAGTAACAACACAATCTTTTCCAGAGAGAGATGATGGCAAAATCAAGTAACAACACAATCTTTTCCAGAGAGAGATGATTTAATCCAGTGGAGAGTCAAACGTGAATAATACTATACCTTTTCACTTCACAGTATAAGTGGGAGGGTTCGATCTCGGACCTCTCATTTACACTTCCTCCCCAAACCATCCCATCCCTTCCTCCCCCCTCCCCCCCAAAACTAAAATGCACCACTCGTGCTACATTTTGGATACCCAAATTTAAGGCTGCTTTTAACTGCATACCAGAATATTTGCCTAGTAGATTAGTCTCATGATGGATATAAGATAAAACGCTAACACATAATTACAGGATAAATACGACATCAATGCCACCCAATTGGTGACCAGCTGCTTTAATCTGTATATGGCTGAAAGCATTCACTTAACTGCCACTAACAGGGAGAGAAAAATTCACACCAAATTAATCTTCAAGCCCAAAACTCATCACTAAATTAATCAATTTGATTGCTCAAATACTCAAAGAGAGATACTTTCGGGACAGATCTCATTGCCTCTTGGACTAAGAGTTTAAATTAGATACTCACAAATCTCACCTGGGAGACAAAACTTCATAAAGCTGGTATTAAATTGCTTTGTGATCACAATATGCTTAAAATTTGCCTGAAATATACATCACAGCAAGGGAAAAATCTCTGGACTACTCAGTCATCCTTGTGCTCCAACTAAAATATTAGTGTTCACATTTTCTACTGTAAACAGTTGGACAATAAGTCGTAGTCTTCCACAAAGATAATGCATATGGCGTTAATAGCTGAACAGAAATTCAAGAATGTTTTAGCTGACAAAAATGAAGAAAAGCTACAGAATACCTATTATACATTCTTTCATGACCTCTAAAAAGGCTTTTTAGGGCCTCTTATGTTTGAAGGGGAACATATGCCCAGAAAATTTCAGCCCCTTGGTGTATTCAGAAAGGTTCCTAAGCATAAATTATCACTGAAACCATGATATCGGAAGCACATACTCCGTTGCTCGCACCTGTAGTAGCTCCAAATACTCAAAATTCCTAACCTTTTTCTTTTGAATCACTTCAGACAAGTTTAATGACCTACAAATTCTTATTTTTAACGTATCAGTATTACCAATGTGTCAATTCTAATTTCGCTATATTACTTTCCAGATGTTAGAGCATTGCAGTACCAGAGTCATGCTTGGTAGCTAAGTAAACTACTTAGTAAACAACATAAACACAACAAAGACAAGAAATTCCAGGACTGCCTCTATGAGCCTCGATAGGCATCTCACCATTTCCTTCAGGAAGTAGATTCAGTCTACAGAACCAGAAAACAAAGAATAGATGCAATCAATGGAACCATACTGGTGAAATTATCAAACTTATAGTTAAAAAAGAAATATTAAGACACATCATGACAATCAAGAATGAGTTTTGTGGACAATACCGACTAGTCACTTCAGACAGGCAAACAATAATGCCATTTCCTCATTGAACAGTCTCTCTCTCTCTCTCTCTCTCTCTCTCTCTCTCTCTCTCTCACATACACTCACTTTAGATTATTCTCTCCCTTCTCAGTTTCTTAATTTTCTTTCAAAAAGTATGGACGTCTCATTACTAGGAACTGTGAGACACCAATTAACAATCAGAATATAGGAGCTAATTGTACTTCTATGTTGCAACAGCAGGAAGAAGAACTCACATCATCCAATGGTTATATCTTGAACAACATGAATGCAAATCAGTTCCCAAAATCAAGAGCTGCAACAGTTGGCTCATTGAACATAAAATAGGAAAAGACAGTAAGAGTATAATACTGTTATATATTACAAGGAAAATCTAGTATTGGAACCTACAAATATGACTCCATTCCCACAAAAATTTGTTTGACAAAAATCACAGACACATTATAGTCGATGACAGGTATATACTACTGGCCTTAGTCATCAAAAGCCTTAAACAAACATCACATATGAAGACGCAAAACACTACACTACTGATGTCCTAGAAATATGGCAATAAAAGAATAGACTCACCCTGACAGGTATCATCTGGCTCATAATTCAAATTCATCTTCAAGCTTCAACTGCTCAGCCGCAGCCTCCTCCTCTTCATCATCAACCACAAAATAGGGATTGTGCGCTTCAGGCTTAAAGTTGTAGCCAGTGAAAACATAAAAGGCAAGAGTGGCCAACTCCCCAGCCACAACACTGGTCCAGAGATACCTATACGAAGTGATGGTCTCCAACGCATACACCACCACCCTCGTAAAGTAAATGTAGCAGATGACCACGATATAATACTGCCTAAACAAGGTCAACTTCATCAAATTCACAGCAGCCTTGCCATCAGTCCTGGCAGCCTCGCGCAAGTTCTTTATAGACCAAACAATCGGGAACAAGACGGCACAACAGCACACTACATCCACCAACAGGAAAACCTGCTTCCACGTGACCCAATCTTGGTCAAACGGCACGGACTCATCAATCACAACCTGAGCTATATTAGCAACGACCTGAAGAGGAATGACGATCATCAAAACCTTCTTTTCCTTGTCCTGCAAGTAGGGCTTCAAAAAGGACCACCCAGTCCCAATCAACACAATCAAAGAGAAGAGGGTAATCCCCTTGAAGAAGCTAAACACGTAGAACAAGACATCCCATCCGTGGGCGCTCCCGGTTCGGTTAATATAAGACTTGTCCTCGGCCTCGCACAGGAGATTGAGGGCCTTCAAGATAACCACGGCGAGCATGAAGAAATGGATGGCGAAGACGGTCAAGCGTTTCTTGTACAGAACATGGATCCAGAGGGCGGCCAAGGCGAAATAGACGAGGGAAAACAAGAAATAAATCGTGGGGAGGGGGGTTTTACCGGCGGAGAGATAATCGCGGCGGTTGGAGTCGGGACCGGGTTGCAAATTGTACATGGCGGAGTGGACTTTCATGGAGACGCGGAGGTTGGGGAGGCAGCTGGCGAAGACGAGAGAGTACTGATCAGGGATGGAGATGTTGTGGGGTTTGGAGAAGGAAATGGGGGGTTAGGGAGGGAGTCGAAGGTGAAGACCAGATCGACGGCGTCGGACTGGAGGGCGCAGGTGATCTGGGAGTCGTCGATCTGGTGGAGGACGTGAAACCAGGCATCGCGGGTGCAGAGGAAGAAACCGAGGCGGGAGAAGTCGAGAGAGGATGGGTCGGAGGAGAGGGAGATGGAGGAGACTTTGAGGTCGAGGCGGCCCCGGTGAGTGAAGCCGAACTCGTCCAAGGGGATGATGCCACGTGCATCGTTGCGAATCTCGGAGGATCGAATCTCAGCGATTACGACTGCCGGAGAGATGAGGAGAAGAAGGAGGACATAAATGTTGATGGAGTTGATCATCATCGTCATCCTCGGAAGAACAGAAGAAGCTCAGATCTCCGTCTCTTTTCTCTTTCTCCGCTCTTCCCTTTCCTTCTTCTCCCCAAGGCAGATTCCACACTGTAGCCTGTAGGTAGTGGTAGAGCCGGCGCGCCATTTTTTTTTTCCTTTTTATAAAATTAATTAATCTCCTGATTTAGGCTCCGTTTGGATTGAAGGAAGGGAAGGGTAGCAATGGAAAAGAAAGGAAATGAAAAGTGATTCCCATCGAATCGTATCTGAATTAAATATGAAAGGAAAAGAAAACAAATATTGAATTTCTGTTTAAATTTCTGTTTAAGTGTTAATTTAGTTGAAAAGATAGCGAAAAAATAAACTTTTAATAAAATTTTAAATTATTTAATTTCATTTTCCTTCTAAGCATAATTCAATGGAATAATTGCCATGCTTAGATTGCTTGTTTCCGTCGAAAAATATTGTCGTTTTTCGTGATCACATTTCCCTATCACATTTTTCCCTCACATATATCAAATCGTTATAATAATTTTTCCATGAAAAATGATAGAAGATACAATCCAAACACAACCTTAGATTCTTCTCCACTCTTTCCCTCCCTAAACCTTTCCTTCCCCCCCCCCCCCCTCTCAAAAGTCAATCCAAACAACAAAAACCAAATCACTCCAATCCCTCTCCTTTCCTAAGCTAACCGGCAAACAGGCTGGGCACCTTGGTCTTAAATCTCGACATTTTTAAATTCACGTTAACCAAATAGTATGGAGTGTTCTCTTTTGGTCAAAACATAGTGGTAAATAGTAAGCATGCCATTTTTTGATCCAAAAATCAATTGTGAATGGATATAGAGAGGAAGAGTTCGCATTGGCCAAGGAGCAGCTATGTGAAATGTATGCGTAAAAGGAGTTCAGGAGATGTTTCTTGCCCTTTATTTTTTCTTTTGCTCTTTTATTTTTATTTAACTTTTCCCCTTCTTTGATTGTTAAGCAATTAAGTTAATGCCTCTCGTTCACAGTTAGGGATCTCGATCTATTGTCTCTCTGGACTAATCGTGTCTGAGGTGCCGTGAGTTAGGCAGATAAAAGACTGATCATCTTATTCTGCATTTTGACGCTAGTACACTTTGATCATTATCTTCACAAAAGATTAATGCCTCCACAATTTTCCTGTAGCTCATGTTTCTTAGTTTAAAAAGAGTTTCGTCATTCTGCTTGAATGGTCAAATTGTAGAGCCCTCAAAATTGGACGAGGGACAAAACAACACTAGTAGTAATTGTCAAAATCGTGCCAACTTGTTCTGAATCACAACATTTTTGGAGCAGATTTTTATCTCCATTAAAGGCAATGAAAATGTTAGACTGTTGTGGATTCGTCTGAGAAGAAAGCCACAGCCCCAACAAAAGGGGCATTTATATAAGTTGCTGGCTCAGATTGCTGATAGTTATTTCTGTCATCAGCGAAATTGTCTCTGCTATCAGGCCCTCCTAAGATGGCTCCCACGAGAATATTTGGATTAGGCAAGCGGGAATAGAGATATTGAAATCCGTCACTGCAGCTAACACGTCCCGGATGTGCATGCACTGATGGCACAGATGAACCTCTGTGGTGAACATGCTGGGGATACCTTTGCCCAAAACCCACCATGTATGACATTTTTGCTGGATTATCTCCTAATATATAGTCAACCTGTCTCTTTGCAGTTTCTATGATTTTATCTGCTGTGATAGTTGAGACCCCACATGCTGCAACTCCTCCATTCGAGCGTAAATACTTGGCATATGTTAGGAGAAGGAAAGACGAAGAGGTAACATACTGGAGATTGCTCTCACTTTGTTTATAGAGAAGTCCCCCTGTCAACCAATGTTGTTGATTTTGAGACAGCCAGAATCAAATTTAGCATAATGAAACCACTAAGCATCACAATATGGGCGCCTGACTCCGTGAGGGAGAGGAAAGTCATAAAAAAAAATAATAAGAATTTTCTCCAGCACACCTGGGGTATACTGGGCCTGGAAATTTGGCATTCCCGGTATCAAAGAGCAGATGTAGCTGTCAGAATGTGCTTTATACAGCTGAAATTCTTGGGTGCTCTTCTCCAAGAAACCCTATGTGAAGTTGCATCGGAGAAGCATTGAGCATGTAATTTAACGAATTTGTTTATTTGTATTGCAGGAAAGAAGGGAAGGCACAAAACAAAAAAAAACCTTTGCAAGCAAAACTTTTGTTCCGGGGCGTTTGTCATCCCAACTAAAGGAATAATCGTCATTATCTGCGCCAAGTGTGTGGCCATTTGATTGGATGTAAGCCAAATACGAGGAATTTTCTGAAGCTGTATGAAGCCAAGAAGCTCCCCACAATAGCTCATCCTAAATCCATGAGAGCAGGAGATGGTAAGTGGTGACAGATGAACCTACGCTAGGGACATTAAAGAAAACCTATGAAACTGTTTCGTTCGTCTCACTTGGTATCCTGAATATGAGCAGTAAAAGGGGCAGACAACAGAATTGAGAGAGTCACTGTAAGAGCCCCTGTGCCTGTCTGCAAAATCAAACACCTGCAGTTGCATTTGTTCGGGATTGTTTTTTTATGAGATGGGAGTGGTAATAAAAAGTTGGGGAGTCGAAATTAGTAGTGAAAAACTAACCTCCATTGCTGTGTGCAATAATTTGGTGGAATAATGAGGATCGGAATCTTTGAACACAATAGAGGCTGCTGCCAGTGCTGCTGCTGTCTCTGCTGCTACGTCTGATCCTGGGTTTTGGGAGGTCACTTTATACACATTCCGAGGCGTGTCCATGTCCTCTGGCCTTTCCCAGCAACGATGGTCTATATTCGGATCTCCAACCTGCTCCATTTAGAGGAAATAAAGCTTGTTTGCAATTTTCTATTGTAGAAGACAAAGCATTCCCAAACATAGAGCGTGGTGGATTTATTAGGACGCATTTTCCAGAATAGAATAGAGCTTCCATCATGTAAATTCAATCAATGAATTCGGCGGCGGTGTGGTTAATGATGTACCTTAATCTACTCCTAAAACAGCTATGAATTAGTAAATGTTTTGTTTTATATTAAGTGCGGAGTTTCTCACTTGAGCGTATAAGGTAGCAGGAGTTGCTGTGGCTGCTTTCAAAAGATAATCGGCACCCCAGCGGACAGCGGCTTTGGCATTCTCAAGTTGGTTATGCATGGAGCTACCAAACTCAATTATGCTCCATGCAAATAGAGTAGTAGTGAAAGCCATTGGCAGGCCAAACTTGACATTGTCTCCTGCATCATAATAACCTCCCACAAGATCAACCTGTAATCCACGATGACAAAAATAGATTGTATTAAGCCGTCAAAAAAACTGTTACTCCACCCACTAATTGGAGAGCATATATATATATATATATATATATATATATATATATATATATATGTATTAGTACTATTAATTAATTACATGGTAACCAGAGCCGTCGGACAATGCAGAGTCACCCCTCCACGAAAGTCGTTGGTTTGAGGGTAGCTTCCCTGATCTCTGCCCTTCAAAGAAGAGAATGGATTTTTCAAGGGCATCAGAATAGTCTCGAGTGGTGAATGCATGAGAGGAGGATAAGAAGAAGCATAGAATCAGTAGTAATTTTATGGTAAACTTAGGAAGGCAAGACGTCATGTTCGTTTTTCCAAAGTGAAAATAAACTTAGGAGGCTCTATCCTTTAGAAGCGAAGCATTCACTAGACTATGTTTTTGTTTTTTTGGCATTGGCACCTCCTCTTTATACAAAGAAGAATTGGATGGATGGGAGAATGGGGGGGTAGTTAAGTTCGTTGGTGAATGCGTGCATCAGAGAGTGAGTAGTGTCTTTGAAAGCTTGGACGCATCATCCATTCACGGACGGATTCAGCTGCGCCAATTCGGATGATAGTGTGTGCCCTCCTACTACTACTAGCATTATACTTACAAGCAAATTAAAAGCTACCGCGCCCGTAACGGTGGGAAGAATAATAAGCCCCCAAAAAAAACAAAAAAGTATGAGACAGTCAACTATTGAGACACACACAAATTAGTCTTTGAATGGAAGTCATTTTCAAACTCGCATCATCCCGTGCACTACAGTTGCAAAACGAGCACCGGGTTTTCCTCTCATTCATGTTCGTGACAGGACAAATTTTATCCACACTGTGCTGCAGAGATCAGCTATGGATAGATAAAGGGGAATCCAAGAACCCCCCCCCCCACCCCACCCAAAAAAATTTAAAAAAAAATTCTGGAATGCATAGAGAAAATGTGATGCTGTCATATGACATACAGGGAAGGGTCTAGGATTTGACCCGTGAAGGTGAAGGAGGATGCATGTTTGATCCATCATGTGACTTTTGGGAACGCAAATTTCAAACTCAGCGGCTGCATGATTTTATTTACAGACAGTACTTGTTTATATTTATTTTGGAGTGGTTTAGGAGGGAATAAGAAATGCTGTTTGAGCATGTGATTATATTAAGAAGGCGTAATTCAAGGTGGACGGTGTGCTTAGAAGCCTACAAAAAAAGCCAGCACCAATTTGTTGTTAGGATTGGAATTGGAAGTAGTAAGTGCCAGACTGCCAGTAGCAGCAGTAGGTAGTATATTTCATGTCGACGTTATACAGAGGAAATGGGATTCCATTCTACCATCTGCACTTGTTGCTTCCTCTCTATAATAGTACAATCCTTTTAAGAGAGATATATATATATATATATATATAAAACATTAAAGGGACCAAGAAAATGCATTCCTCTAAGGGACAACAAAAATGTTGTCAAAAGGACATGACGACAAGGTCATCAAAGTGAGTTAAAAAAAGTCTCAACACCAGATGGTGGAGCATATTACAGTAGTGTGATTGGCGAACTTATCTGCATTAATTACGCGGAATGCTACGACTACGAGTTGCTCTTATTTGATCGCTAGTCAAAGATAGAGCAGTCCCATTATAGTTCAAACAAACAATTCCTGCGAGTTTGATCTTTTTCTGTTACTTTTGAATGTCGCGCCATAGTCACGGCCCCCTGGCTAAAAAAACACTTCCCAGAAAAGAAGTAGGAGCTGTTTCTGTTAGGTTTGCAGCTTGGGACAGACGCTCGAATTGGGATTTGCCAAAGAGCCT